TTTCATTTTCTTAGATTTTGGCGAGATTGGGCCTATTAAGTCCATGGCCCAAGTCTGAAATGGCCAGGGGGGCTACGTAGAATGCAACTCTACTGCCGGGGCGTGGATGCTGTGGCTATGAGTTTGACATTCTCGACACTTTTGGGCATGCCTCTTGCTGTCCATCTGCATTGTGGGCCAATAGTAACCCTCTGCAAAGCTTACACATCTCTTGGCCCTGCCATCGAAGCCTCGTCTCATCAATTCACTGTTGCATATGAAGAATCGCCTTACTTCCTTCCTTAACAGAACGGCCTCCTCGCGGTTCTGTGGAAGTAATCGCTTTTCAAGATATTCCACATATTTCTGTCTACAGTCCTCTTCAACACTGGCCACACATTGGGCTTCCTCGAGCAGTTCTTGGCATCTGGGACATGCTTTCTGTATAGACGCTGCATCTTTCACCATTGTCGGCCAGTAGTATCCCTGTCTTTGCACCCTCTGGTACAAGCTCAACGAATTATCGCCACACGTGCGCCCATGGATTTCATCTAATACTTGGCTAGCCTCCAGACTTCCAACACATCTCGCCAAAGTTCCGCCATGTGCTCTGAAGTACAACACCCCCAAGTACAATGTGAAATTTTTGAGTTCCAACAAATGAATTCCGCTCATGCTGCCTTTCAGCTGTGACTCGTGCGGAGTTCGCCAGTCCTCCTTGTTTTCTTACCCAGCGAATTCTGCATCGTATAGGCAGGACTCATTCTTCTTATGAATGCGGATATCTACCGATTCTCCCGCAATCTCAACTTTGGACGCCAATGTAGCCAAGGCATCCGGATGTCGATTGCTGTCCGGCGCGCATGAGTTATACAGAGTTCATCAAAATAACCACTGAGTTTCTGGATAATTGTTCTGTATGCCGTCAAAGCTGGCTCCTTGATAGCATAGGAACCGTCTAACTGTCTCACCACCAAGTTTGAGTCCCCTTGAACATGCAACCGCTTGACCTTAGCTTCCTGTGCTGCCAAAAGGCCTAGCACTAAGGCTTCATATTTCGCCGTATTATTGGAACATCCGAAGGTGAGCTCATATGAAAGATTTTGGGCTTTCCCCCCCTCGGGGGTCAACATCACTCCCGCTCCTCCTCCCTTAGAGGTTGACGACCCGTCAAATGACAATGTCCACATCATATTCTTATCCACGCAACAGACTGACTCAAACTCGTCATAAGGAAGGTCATCACACACTGGTTCAAAATTACCAGCAAGAAATTGAGCTACTAAATCTGCCATGGCCTGGCTTAGGATGGCATGGGGTGTGAGGCACTGTATATCAAACTCCGCCAACGCCAGGAGCCACCGCGCCACTCGCCCTGAAATAATTGGTCGCAAAAGCAAATACCGCAATGGGTCACACTTAGTGATGAGGTGGATAGTATGGGCAAGGAAGTAAGGACGAAATTTCTTGGCTGCAAACGCCAGAGATAAGCAGTGGCGCTATTGGAGAGTAGCGTGCCTCGGCACCTTGTATAACTCGGCTGATGTAATACACAGGGCGCTCGCGTCCTTCCCTTTCCAGGGCAAGGAGCGATCCGATGGAATGCTCAGTTAACGTGATATAGAGCTTGAGGGGGACTCCTAGTTGAGGAACTATCATTGTGACTGGCGGGGACAACAATCTCTTGAGTCGGTCAAACGCTTGCTGGTGCTCCTCATTCCATCTGAATTCAGGCCTTCCCCTCATCAGACCACCAAAGACATGTGTAACCTCGACCAGAGCCGGTATGAACCGCCGTAGGTATGAAGTCCGTCCTATTAGACTCTTTAGCTGTTTGAGAGAGCGCAAAGGGGGCATTTCCAAGATGGCCAGAACCTTGCCTTGCTCGACATCAATGCCTTGCCGATGCACTATAAAACCCAAGAATCACCCAGCCTCCACTTCGAAGGCGCATTTCAACGGATTCATCCTCAACTTATACCTTCAACACCTTTCGGAGAGGCTTCTTAAGTCAGTTAAGTGCTCACCTCTAGCTCGCGACTTTACCACCAGATCGTCCACATAATCCTCTATTTGTTTATGCAGCATATCATGGAAAATAGCCGTCATGGCCCGCTGGTAGGTAGCCCCAGCATTCTTCAAACCGAAGGGCATGACTGTGAAATGGAAGTTTCCCATGGGAGTGCGAAATGCCGTCTTCTCTGCATCGCATTGCGCCATTCTTATTTGATTGTATTCGCTGTACCCGTCCATGAACGAGAACATCTTATGTCCCGAGGTCGAGTCGATCAAATTATCAATCATGGGTAGCGGAAAGTCATCTTCTGGGCAAGCCTTATTCAAGTCCCTGAAATCAACACAAACCCTGATCTTCCCATTTTTCTTCTTTACCGGGACGATGTTGGCCAACCATGTAGGATGCTGGATAGGCTTGATGAAACCAGCCTGCAACAACTTTTGTACTTCCTCTTTGATTTGCAATTCGAGCTTCGGACGAAAGCTCCTTTGCGCCTGCTTGATCGGGCGAGCATCCGGTCACACATTGAGGTGATGAGTCACTACCTTGGGATTTAATCCAGGAATCTCTTCATACGTCCAGGCAAAAACATCTTCGAATTCCTTTAGTAAATCTATCAATGCCGCTCTTACATTACCTTCCAACCTTTTACACACATAGACCACTCGAGGGCCACCACACATAGACCACTCGAGGGCGGCCACCATTGGCTAGATCTACCTCTTCCATTTCCTCTTGATTGAGCCGAACCGTCTTAGCTGGTTCCACTTTTACTTCCTCCTCGTCGTTTGGTAACTCCGCTTGACATGACTCTACTCGGGGGCGCGGTCTCGCCCGAGGTCATGCCCCCCAACACCGTTATAAGCTGTAGATAATCCTTCCATCAGACAGACGTACCCTTTTGCAAACAGCCGGTTTCTTCTGATTGGTAGTCGTTACTGGCATTTTTTTCTTCCCTTCTTGTTCTATCTCTTCCCACTTTGGCAAAGATATAGCTGTCAGCGGCTGAGGTTCTTCAGCATCCTCTAGTTCATTAAAGAATCCAGCTTCCACCATATGAGACTCTTTTTTGGTAAAAGGTCGATCGGAGCAACGGACCGTAACCTGCTTCCCATTCCAGAACCCTTTCATGCATTGATGGTACGAAGAAGGGACAATCCCAAATTTATGCATCCAACCTCGACCCATGAGCAAATGGTAGGAGGTATCTGAATCAATGACATGAAACTTAACTGATCCTTTGAACTTTTCAATGACCAACTCAGTCGTCACGTGCCCCTCAGTCCTCCGGATATCGCTTCCAAATCCAGCAATCTCAGTCGGCCTTCGAATAAGTTTCTCGTCCGGGAGCCCACTTTGACGAAAGACTTCCAAAGGTATGATATTAAGAGACGAGCCGTTGTCCAGAAACGCCCGTTTGAGCTCAACTCCGTTAAGCAAGGCCGTAACATACAATGGCCTATTGTGCGGTGTAGGGATGCATTTATCCTCCTCGGTAAAGACTATGACCGATCGAGGTGACCTTTGTGGGATCGGGAGTGGTGTGATTGACGCAACTTTTTTAATGCCTTCCTTCGCTGCTAGCCACAGAAACTTGGCTATCTCCTTCTGAGCGAGAGGAGAAAAATCCATCTTCTGGAAAATGCTTTTAACGGGGGCCATTTCCAACAGGCGAAATGCATTGAGGTCATCTCCCTTGACCAGCGCGACCTGGGCAGAACCATCCTCGGCCTCTTCCCTATCGACTACTTCGCTAGTCACCATCATTGCAACACCTCGATCATGCATAGGGAAAGGTTCCTCCCTCACATCCCCGGGAGGGAGAATAAGCTCGCCATTGGCGATCCGTCTGTGAAAAATATTCCGCAAAGCCTAGCAATCATAGGTGGGATGACGGGTATGTCGGTGATACAGACAGTACTTAGGATTGGCCATTTCTTCTGGAGCGGGCTCGCGGGCAGCCTCGGGCAGTCTGATGTCCCCATGTTGTATCCATTTCTTAAGGATGGTTTTTACTTCTTCTGGAGTGCATGGGAATGGGGGAGGCACTTCATCCGGATTCTTTGTTCGAGGAGTGCGGGCTGGCCTCGTGTTCTTCTTATTGGGAGACGCGTCTGCGGCTGAAACTTGGGGTTTACGCCTGCCCCGGTATTCTTCTTGCAGGCCCCTGCGCACAAATGGCGAGATTACTAGCCAAATTCCGAGATGCCTTTATCAAATCGGCGAAGGTAAGGAGCTTCAAGTTGATAAGATGGATTCGGTAGGACCCCTGCATGCCTTGTATGCAAATCTTGGCTAACGCCTCTTCTTTATGCGTTTCATAGCATTCCATAGCCCGATCGTGGAATCTATGTACATATGTAAGCAAGTCCTCTATAAGGCCCTGAACTTCCTTGGTCAAAGATAAAGTAGTCACCTTTTCTTCCGCCTGAAAAAACTTGGTGTGAAGTAACGTAGCAAGCTGACTCCAGGTAGTGAGCAACCCCGATTCCAGATTTGAGTACCATTTGTAAGCTCTTTCTGTGAGAGTCTTGGCGAACTTCCTGAGCCGCATAGTATGGTCGTTTCCAAAAGGTCCCAAGGCTTCTATAAATCGTACCACATGTTCGCGCGGATTGCCCTTTCTTCCATCGAACTTACTGAATTTGGGGGTTACGTACCCCGGAGGATACGGGAGGAGCACGACAGACTGCGCATAAGGTGGCTTGGGGGCAAACTCTTGAGTCAGAACGTTCTTTTTGTTTCGCAACAGCGTTTGCAAGTCCGCCATGGTCACATAAGGCGATTGTTGAGCCAAGTCCTGCTGGCATCCAAATTCCTTTGAGCTCCTATCTCTGCGGATTACCCCCCTTCGACTGGCATTCGACGTGTTCAGCCTTGCTGGTGTCGTGAGTGGGGTGTTGAAAAGAGTTCGACGAGCGCGCGGTGGCGTGTTTTGTGGCCGTCTCCGTCGACCAGTAGAATATCTCCCCTCGGCTGATGATGGTGGCATATGTCACACGGGACTATCTGGGGTCACCTGTCCCTCAGTGAGTCCGTCGCAGAAATCACCGCTTGGTCTGCACCTCGTCGACGTACTCCTCTGTCAACAATCTCCCGAAGCAAGCTCACAACCTCTTTCTGAGTGCCCTCAAGCTGATCCATTCTGTACGACAACGCGTTATGGGCCTCGACCAAGGCGTCAGGATAGATGATTCTGGTTCCGGGAAAGTACGACTCCGGCATGCTCACGGATCCCTCGTAGCCCTCACCAAGGGCGGGACTAGACTGAGAGGGAGGACTGATCTCTTACAAGCTTGACATCTGTGGAGCGCCCCCTCCCACTGTGGTCGACAAAATGTTGAAGGTAGTTCTTAGTAGGATAAGGAGATCGTTTCACGTAAGCCAGGAGATCTGAGATCAGTATCCAAGTGGAGATCCAAGCAACACAAGGGACTCTTTGATAGTGAAGATTAAGAAAGGGAAGGCCGACCTCGGTACCCAATGAACTCGAGCTCAACTGTGCAAAGTTATAAGAGTGGTAGTTACCTGCCTTAAAGGCTGATTAACGCTCCTATTTATAGTGCTTACTTCCTCGGATAATATCCCTCATTTGGGTGAGCCCGACTTTACCCAAGGGTCTGAGGGTCTCCCCTCCAGACAGATGGGACGTTGACGGATGGATGGCGGTGCTTTGCCCCCCGGTCCGAAGGGGTAATGGCGCTCCTTAATTATTACAGATCTTGTCAAATGTCTTTCGTAATTAATGCCCTCTCATAGCTCGAACTCGAGTACCGAATGTCCTTTCCCCCTTGCATTGGCCCCGGACCGAGGCGGTGCCTTGGATCTCAGCCACTTGTCCACATACCCTCAGATTCCCGAACCCAGTATAGGAGTGAGCCTTTTCCGAGGTTCTGCCTTCTCAACCTCACGAGGCCACATCCCGACTCTACATCTCGCGGTCTCTCTATCCATAAAGAGGAGTTCACAAAGTAGGGAGCTCGAGGTCACTCCAGCGGGGAGTGACCTCGGAAGGGCAGGAAACCTCGAGGTCGCTTCAGCAGGGGGCGACCTCGGAAGAACGGGAAACCTCGAGGTCGCTCCAGCAGGGGGCGGCCTCGGAAGAACGGGAAACCTCGAGGTCGCTCCAGCAGGGGGCGGCCTCAAAAGAACGGGAAACTTCGAGGTCGCTCCAGCAGGGGGTGGCCTCGGAAGAACGGGAAACTTCGAGGTCACTCCAGCAGGGGGCGACCTCGGAAGAATAGGAAGGATGGGCCCATCCGACTGGAGCGGGGCGCATCCTTAGGAGAGGAAGGGTAGTGACCCCCTCCTCGTTCAGCAAGTCCAGTTGCGGGACAAGTAGCTCGAGGATACTTGGTCCCTTTAGGGGTGGGGGCATGCCAAATAAGTATTGGCCAGGTGTGCCTATTTTCAGAGGTGGCGCCACTTGGACAGCTAGCATGGTGCGATCGTCAACAATGTGTAATTTCTGAAACTTGTTATTATAAATAGAATGTGGTGGAAGGATGAAAGAATTCTTTCATTCCTTTTCTCTTTCTGTAATGTTTCCATTTTTCTTTTTCTGAAAATTTTGTTATTGCAAGGGCATCTTAGTCTTTTCATGTTTTGCATGCCGGACACCATGGGGTGCGCCTGGTGTGTCGGAGAGTTGTTTGGAGCATTCCATTGAGTTTAGGACTCTTGGAAATGCAATGTTGGTCATTTTTGCATTTTTTCAATTTTCGGACCGGACGGACCCGTGTGGGACCCGCTACCGGTATTGTTGTGTACGGGGATTTTAGTTGGGTTCGTTTGTATCTCATTTATTTTATTTTATATGTTTTATGTGGTATTTTATATGGTTATGTACATATTTAATTGTGTGGTGCAAAATAAGAATTTAAAAATAAAGTTAAAAAGGAAAAGAATTTGGGAAGTGGTGGGACCCACCACCGGCGGCCAAGAGACCACAATATGGTCTCATTCTCTCTCCCTTCTCACAGGTTCTCTCTCTCTCTCTCAATTTCACTTCATTTTCTTTTTTCTTTGAAGTTTTGATTTCTCCCTCAATACTTGGAATTTTTGGAAACTGTTGGCGGCAATTCGAAGAGCACGGCAAGATCTTCACTTCCATATAAGCAATTTTAGTTTTAGTGCACTCTAGGGATTCCAATTTTGAGACCCATTTTGGGGTTTTTTCATCCTTCTTGAGGTAGGGGTCTCTAATTCATGTTTTTCTTGTGCCTTTGTGAATTAATTTCTTGTTAATTGTTTTTAACGTGTTTAGTTGGTGTTAATTTCCCCTAAAATGATTTAATTGTGGTGTATAAAGTTCATGATTATATGTATTAGTTGATTTGTATGAAAAGCATGTCTGAGTGTTGATTTTTTTTGCCTATTGTGTTGTTAGCTTGCTGGAAATGATGTATGGAAGTATGTGTAATTTTCTTAGAATTTCTTGTAAAGCATGCTTAATTGTGTTGTATGAAAATCCCTTATTATCTTAGCATTGAAAGTATGAGTCATGTATGCAATTGCATTGGGTATGAATGAGGGGAAATGATTTGAAATAAAAGAAAAAGAGATTTTTGGGAAGAATTTTGATAAAATGGTTTTAAGAAAACCCGGTCGCCGCGGAGTTACCAAAGGGCCGTGGTATTAATATAACCTAGAGGGAATTAGGGAAATCACCCTAGCGTGGTTGAGCTAGCTGGTCCTAAATAACACCACGGGAGTACCAAGGGTCAATGATAGTGGCCAATCCTTCTCTCGTGTCGCTGCGGAGTCACCAAAGGACAGACTATATTAACAGTTTGAAAAGTGATGGATTTGGATTTTGAAAATGGAGAGCAACATACACGGCATTGCATCTCATGGCACGACATTGTTTACTTTGAATTTGGAATTGATGTTGTATTCTTTCCCGGCATAACATGACCCCTATCCTCTATTCTTATTCATTATTTGGATTCGCGGGGCCACAAGAGGTGTGTCTTAGGCACCACCTACTGAGCAATTTGCTCACCCCCTTATATTTAACGTTTTTCAGGTCATGGAAAGGAGATGGCGAATGATAATCCTCCACATGTTTGAAGAGGACTTGGAGTTCATTTCTTTTGCTATCTTTTGTAATTAGGCCATTCTTTTGTAAAAGCCTTATTGTAGAAATGCAATTAAGTTAGCTGCCTTGGCCTTGTAATTTACCTATGAACTTGACTCTAATTTGTCGGATATTTGAACAAGAATGTAAAAACAATGTATCATATATATATATTTGAATGGTTGATGGAGTTGCCTTGTATATAAAATGTTAAGGATCATGACCATGATATGTAGTTTACCACTTGGGGAGTTTTTAGAACAAGTTTGAAGCAGGTTTGCAAAGTTTTCTATAGACTATTTTTCATTTTCAGGATTTTCAGCATTTCCAGTAGCTGGGGTAGCGCGCAGAGCCATTTCGGTCAACCGAAATGCCTGCTTCGGTCGACCGGTTCGTTCAGAGATTTCAGTAGTTGTTGAAGTCCCATTTCGGTCGATTGGTTCAAGGGAGTTGCTTCGGCCGACCGAAGCCCTATTTCGGTCAATCAAAGTGCATCTGTCCTGTACATTTTGTTCTCCTCTCCAATGTAATTAATCCTAAACCTTGGAGATTTGTTTTGAGCCGTTGTGAAAGCCTAGTGATGATCTTAAAGGTGATGTTTTGACATTAGAAATGACGGGTTTGACATAGATGACCTCGGGTTCGAGTAAGGACCTAGCTAACGGTTCGGACCTCCGGGTTCGGGTCATTACACTTTCCCCATCTCTCTTTCTTTTTCTCTCATCCGCTTTCTTCTTCTTCTTTATCACTTACTCTTGATTTGATTATATCTTAAAGTCAACATGGTATTAGAGCATGGTTTGTAAAGCTCTAGGTGTGTAGTTGAAACCCTAGGGCAAGTTTGTGTAAACCCTAGTGGGTGTGAAGGGTTTTGAAGAGATTCCAAGATGGGGTTTGTTTGCAAGGAAGTAGTGTTAATCACAGGACGTACCGCGGATCCAACTCTGAAATTGACAACTTTGCACAAGTTTTTAAGCCCAGTCCATATACAAAGAATAGACTCTGAATAGTGAACTTCAACCACATCTTTCTGGGATCTTAATTTAATCTCTTCTAGTAGAAACTGAAAAGTAGAAAGTTGCGAGCTTTTGTTGATCCTAGAGAGATGTTGCAGTGTATATTTCTTCTATCAGATTCTGGGTAAGTTACAATTTTTTTTAGCACTCTTTTATCTTCATTTCTTCGTACTTATAATTATTTGAACCATAAACATCTTCGTTTCCCAAATTCACTACCTTGATCTGTCTGTATATCTTATCCATGTTATAAATATCGAATTGTTTATTGTTTTGCCGAATTTTGCATAGTGAGGTATTGGGTTGCCGAGAAGTCGATGGAAAATAAAAGAGAACTTTAGAATTTTACAATTACCATTCATACCAGTGCCTTTATGTATAAGATTCTGATAGAATTGGAATCAAACTGATATTTACTATTTTTAGTCATCTGAATTGGGGAAAAAGAATGAAGATATGTTTTCATATGATATACTTACTGTGATTCCAATCATTGGTTTTTAAAATGAGGGGAAAAAAAAAAAAATTTGTTTGTGATTTGTATATGTATTTACAGGGAGGTAATGCTAACAGGCACCGGGTTGAGTGGGCCATTTGTGTTTGATTTTGGGAGCAAGCAATCTCTCAGGGTGATCCCTTCAAGGTACCTATAAAAATAATAATAAAATTAATATGTAGTTAACTTTAACATTTTACTGAACATTTGGGTCTCATTTCATTTCAATTTTGAGGGACTCAAGTGCCAAGTGCATTATTATTATTTTCCTTAGGTAAGTGCAAAGTGCATCAAGTTCATCAAACTGCTGTATGTATTTTGTCTGCTTATCACTCATGTCATTTTAACTTCTCTGCTGTTAATTAATAGGTTGCACCTGTAATTGCTTCACCGACACATTACCTTTTCCAAGTTGTTCGCATGCACCCAGGTTGAAATGCCGCCTTTAATGGGAATTGAGGTGAGTTGTTGCATTCTGTTCTAAAAATTTCCTTTTCAGAACGGTGATTGTTTCCCGACTTGATTAATGAGAGCTGCATTTCTTGAAAATCTTGCAATTGTAAGAACTTGAACTTGGTCTCATCTTGATGAGATTGGTGCTTTTTCCTTCTTCTTTTTTATTTTATTTATTTTTTTATTTTTATTTTTTGTCCCTTATTCAGAGTTATTAATCTAATATCATTGCTGGGCTCAGCACTAGGTTTCATGTGCAGTTAGGTTCAATTTCACACGAGACTTTGATTTGATAAGTGGATCCTGCTTAATTGCATGCTACTGGGGCCATGTTGCATTTATTTAGGCTGTAATTGGTTAAATAGGACTACTGGTGAACTGAACCAAATAAAGTATCAGATAAATAAAGATAGAACACCAAATTTCATACTGTTCAAACTCGGATCAAGCTCGAGCTCGAGCAGAGCTTGGATTCCCAATGTTTCACATAACATGAGCTCAACTCAACTTAAAAGTTAAAACTCATTTACACAAAACATTAGTTGCAAGGCCGCTCTCAAGCACGCTCGGTCTTGAACTTGAATTCCCCCCGCCCAAAAAAGAAATAAAAAAACAGCTCACAACCTTTGCCCATTTTTCTTTTTTTGCATCATCTGTTCCCGCACTTCTTTCCTCTTCCTTCCTCCAATACTTTGTCCTTTTCATTTCCCAAGAAACTTTGTACACATAATTATAAGTAATTATATTTATCATTCCCAAGAAAAAATCAAATTATTCCATATTCTTCTGGTATTAATGCTTGAAAAAGCCTTGTGGAAAAGGTGAAATATGAGAACTTGACATGTTTATCATAATTCTCATAACCGAACCGAGCTTAATCGAACCACATTTGGTCTTGTTCGAGCTTAGTTCATTTATTGAAGGAGTTTGAGACATTGGCTCGAGCCCAGTTTCTTACATATATATATATAGGTTGTAATTGTTCTGTAGCTCGGTTACTCATTGCTCTTATGAGAAGTACTTGTGAGTTCGATCCCTTTTTGAACTAATTTTCTTTTTTCTTTTTTCTTTTTGCAGCAAATACAATTCAGAATTAATTTACTTGCTTATTTAGTCTACACACACCATATATGGAAGAAAAATATCCCATTGAATAAATTAACATGGATAGAAAACTGGGTTATGTTTTGTTGTTGCTGTTGCAAGGTAGGAATCAACCTGCATTGCATAAAAGTGAGTGTCTTCACCCTGGTTTCTCTTTCATTAGAATTCTAGTTCATTGTGTCCATAAAAGATTCATATGTTGATCTCTAGCCCTCTTTTAACCTTCAATCCCACATTTGGATATGTACTTAACCAAACATTTCTCAGTACAATTGACTGTCAAAGTCGATGTTGAGCTTGACCATACGAGTCTTACTACAGGTCCATCAGTGGCCGTAGATCTGAAGATAGATTGTAGTTCTCACAATATGAGTATCAGAGTATGGTTTTCAACTAGTTGCAGCCACCTTGCTTATTTGTCAAGTGAGTTGCCCATGAATGCAAATACTATGTCCTCAAAAAGAGCAAATCTTCAGTCCGGGAGAAGCAAAGGAAATAATACGAACATATATATGCAGGTAAGGCTACGTACATATCTAACCCCTCCCCATACCCCCACAGTGGGGGCAGCCTCTTGCATAGCAAGCCCTAGCATGTAAATATTTTTCAACTAGTGAAAGGCAAAGGCAGGGTTGTTTTTTAGCATCCACCCACAGTCAAAAGCAACCACCAATCATTGTTATCGCAAAGTTCTTTACTACTCGGAGATCCCACTCACCTTGAACTATATCTTCTACCATTTAATCTCTTATCGCAATTCTTCAACCTCAGACAGCTACCTTTCGACACCTATGTACCCTGATGCATAATCTTATGCTTGCTGAGTCAACTGAACTGTCCAGGGCGCTCCTCAAACTCGATGCACGACAATGGTCTGACCTCAGGGGTTGCGACACGGTCTAACATGGGATTTAAAGGTTCTATGACAATTGAAATGGGGGATTTGTCCAGTTGAATTTTTTTAGTCAGGTTGTTATCTTGGCCAATCTTAGGGAGAGCATTATAACAAGTTTTTTAAATTTATTTGGTAATAATAATTTTTAATAGGGTAAAGTGCAAAAAAAACCCCTTCAATTATTGGCCATGTGCAATTAACCCCCCTGAACTACAATTTGCCTCCTTAAACTATTGAATTTGGTGCAATTAACCCCCAATGTGACATCTCTGGCCAATTGGTGTAAACGGAAATAGTAAAAGACAATTTTACCCCTTACATAAAACTACGTCGTTTTAGTAAAAGACAGAGCATTCTCGCGAAGTGTTTCACACGTGTATGACGAGTTACAGAGCTTCAGATCGTGGCTTCGATGGATGTGTGTGGATCAATCCAATCGGCCCATCTCTGTCGCCTTGGACCTCCAGACCAACCAAATCCGACCCTACCGACACGTGGTGCTCTTTCGTTCAGTTCTTCCCCGACGGCACCCTCCTACAGACCGGCGACAACCTCGACGGCGTCCAAAATTTTTGTAAATTCATGCCTTTTGAATCCACGGCGCTATGCGACTGGATTGAACTTCAAGATGTCGAATAAGCCGAGGATCTAGTTGTCGCCAAAAGAGAAAAAGAAAGGCGACGATGATGCAGCGGTGAAACCTAATTCTGCTGTAGTCGACGGCGACGGCGGGCGCCAGAGATTTACGGCGGAGGATGGTGAAGAGGTTCTTGGATTTGTTAGCAGGGTTGGTGTGTTGGGTATTGTGCGGTAATTCTGCTGCAGATCTTCTCGGCCTCATATGCCAACCTTGTGGGTAAGATTCCTGACTTCACTGGGTGTCCATTCTTGTACAAAATCGAACTGGAAGGAAACAATTTGAGTGGTAGCATTCCTTGGAACATTGATCACTGTGAGAAGCTCATTTCCATGAATTTTCATCGAAATTTGCTCACCGGAATCATTCCGTGGCAGATATTGACCCTTTCGTCGATCAACGACATTGATCTCTCCTACAATTCCTTGTCGGGGATAATCCCTTCCAATTTTGATAATTGTACTACTTTGGAAATCTTCAATGTGTTGTTCAATTAGCTAACCGGGACCGTACCGTTTTCCGGAACAGTATTTCGGAACCTTAACCACTGCCCCAATCTCTCTCTCTCTCTCTCTTAATACAACCAGTGCAATATCTTTTTCTCTCTCCTTTGTTCCAAATCCACATCAATTGCAGATTCTTTCTCTCTTTCCTCTATTATCAAATCCCTAATTAATGACAATAAACCCCAATACTCTATCATCCTATATAGATGAGGTGGATGAGGGTGGGCATGATTTCTCTCTCTTCTGTCAATGTTTTAGAGCAACAATAAAACAAATAATTCCTTAGATTTCAGTAGATATTAGATGACAATCGTGATGGTAACATCGTCGTCCAAAAAATTGAAAGATGTTCTTGAAACACCGTCAATTGAGCCTATCCCTACTGCTGTCAAGCACCGGGAAGGAATGGAGGCTGATTTGGGCAAAGCTGTCCAATTACAGGGCATTGACGTTTTGGGCAGCAAGAATATGAGATCTTGTAATTGTTGTTGGAATCGGAATGGTGGAAACGGTTGATGTCGTCTAAGGAATGAATTTTTTTAATTCAATGATTTCCATATGAACTGCATCTTCCGGACCAGTAACGCTGTCAAGATCAAGACAACGACTTGGGTCCCCAAATTGGAACTCGCCCATTCGCTCCAGACTCACCACGGCGCAGACAACCGGGCTTAGCTCGACGCGTTTCAGGAGGACGACAACAAGGGAGATACCATAATTTCATTCACGAAGGACCTACTTAGAGTCGCTGGGCAAAGCCGCCGTCGAAGGTGTAGTTGTGGGGACGGACCGGACGGTGGTGATGGTAACATTTGTTTTATTGACAATGAACAGTGTGTATTTAGCATAAGGACGTGTTTGGGTGTTTTAAGTGGTTTTGGGTGTAAAGGTTAAGGGTTGTATGGTCATTTAAAGAAATTTGGATTGTCACATGACCTATCATGTGCGCCTTCACGATCAAATTCAACCGGCTTATCATCGGACGGAGTTAATTGCACCAAATTGGTTAGTTCAGGGGGGTTATATGTCAAATTAGTAGATCAGGGGAGTTTTCTGCAAAATAGCCAATAGTTGAAAGGGGTTTTTGCATTTTACCCTTTTTAATACGCTTCAATTGCTAATTTTATAATAATATCTTCTAATAGAGTGTAACTATCTTTATAAAAAATATATATAAAAGAACGAAATTGCCTAACGAAAAAGAATTATTTAAAATTTATAACCTACAATTTTAGAAGGAACTAAAATTAATGACTATTAAATGTTACTAATACCAAACACATCTAAACATTAATTTTTAAAAATATAAACAATGTGCAAAAACACACTCACAGTAGTTTAGTGTATATAAGTTCCTAACTTCTCAAAATATATGCAAATTGTCTTCTAAAATGTGTCCATTGTCCATTTTGACCAATTATTTTTTTATAAAATTCAAAAAATACCCTTGATAATCTCTCTCCCCGCTTTCTCATTGTTTTTTATTATTTAGGGATAATTACACTGACCTCCCCTGAGGTTTCGTCATCATACAGTGACCTCCCCTCTTGTTTGTCAAATAGCATTGACCTCCCCTATCAGAGCTTCGGGACAGATGGCGTTAATTGTTATATTGAAATTACTTTTTTGCCTCCATTTTTTTTCTATACTGTATTTTATTACAAACTCAATGGAGTATGAAAAGACAAAAAAAGTCCAAAACTTATCCTTCAACCTACATGAACACAAGCTACTGCATGTAACATTCAACACAAGCAATCAAACAAACAAGCAACATAAGCAATCAAACAATTCAAGTAGTTCTCGATCAGCGCGGACGAGGATTTGGGCGGGCTTTCTGCTGCGGCTTCATATGTGTGTGTGTGTGTGTGTGTGTGTGTGTGTGTGTGTGTGTGTGTGTGTGTGTAGCTTTGTATTTTAATCGTTGAATTACGGTTTAGTTAAAGCTCACTGGAATCAATGGAGTTCCAATTATGTTGGGTGCTTGCCGGAATCAATGAAAGCTGGTGCTGGCGGCTGTGGCATTGGAGGACCTAATTGCGAGGAGCTGGTTATTGGGTACGCTAATGACAACTGCGATGGAGGGAAGGTGACAACCTTTTTATATATATCAACCCTGCTCACATTCTTATCATTTATCACCACATCAAACACTCTCTGCCCTGGTTTGGTCATACTCAAATCGATCTCCGCAAAATTAAACCACACCAAGTAGTCCAATTTTGCATCCACAGTCATTTCATACTCCAAAGTGTTGTTCCCGGTCACTGTCGACGCCGTCTGATACAATTTCATCGGAAAATAATTAGGGCTTTGATTGGTATTGACAACGTTCTTGATCGCCGACACGGCCTTGACTCCAATCGAATCCTGCGACCGGAATTCAATGTCGGACTGCCATTATCAGCCGAACACGTCGGTGTCATTGCTGAAACTCGGCCCCCACTGGTTTGAACCACTGGTCAACTGCCCGTAATTCACCAAAATCGAGCTGTACCTGATCGTGATAGAATCGTACGACGCCGGATCGATCTTGTGACGTCTCCGATTTTCACCATTTTTAATTTTTCTGAAATTTTGTCTACGCAAGGGCATTTTCGTCTTTTCGCGTTATGTGTACGGGATTGTGGTTGGGTCCATTTGCATTGTGTACATTTTAAATTATGTGGATTTAGTAGTATTTGCATGTGGTGCACTTGTGTGTGGTGTATGAATTGAAGAAAAAGTAAAAGAGAAAATAAACGAAAATTGAGGCGGGACTCACCACTACCTCAAATGTGGTATTGAGACTATATTTTTGCTCTCTCATTTTTGCATTCTTCCGTAAGTTCTATCCCTCCCTCTTGTTCCTAGCTTTTCTTTTCATTTTTGGCTTCAAATCTTTGAATCTTCATAACTTCTTCACTTCTTGGTGAAATTGAGAGCCGTTTGAGGCAAAACGTCGAGCACATCGAGCTCTGCGCATCCATACCTGAAATTCCAGATTTGGTGCCCTCCTTGGAGTTCGAATTTGAGGACCCATTTCAAGGGTTTTGTCCATTTTCGAGGTAGGGGCCCTTAATCCACTTCCTTCTTGTTCCATTGTGAGTTATATCTCCTTTGTGTGATAAACATGCTTAATTTGAGAGTTAATTGTTTCAATGTTGTGTAATTGATGTCTAGAGAAATTCATGATTTTGATTATGATTTGTTCTATGTGAAAAGCATGTTGTGGTGATAGTTTTGTTGTGTTTAATGTGTTGATGACTCAATTGACGATGTTAAATATGATATATGCTTAGTTGTGAAGTAATTATGAAATGTAAAACTTTTACATACCATAATATTGTAAGCTTGAGACACATATACATGTACATGTCATTGGGTTGCATGAAATGGGAGAAATCAGTTTTTGAAATGAAAACGGGAATTTTGGGGAGAAGAGTTTTTGTGAAATGGTTTTCATAAACCTGGTCGCTGCGGGGTTACCAACGGGCCGGAGGTTAATATAGCCTAGAGGAGACTAGGGAGTCGCCCTAGCGTGGTTGAGCTAGCTGGGCCCCATAATGACGCCGCGGGGTTACCAAGGGTCAGGGACACTAGCCAATCCTCCTCTCGTGTCGCGGCGGGGTTACCAAAGGGCGGGCTGTATTAACAGTTGGAAAGTATGGTTTTGAGAAATGAAAAATGGGGAGTGACATTATCATGCATTGCATTTCATTGCATTGCATTGTTTACACTTGGAATTGACATTGAAGTTGTTTTAACCTTACATTGCATGATCCCCATTTCCCATTGGCCTATGCTTTGATTGGATTCACATGGACACAAGATGTGTGTCTTAAGTGTCGCCTACTGAGCATATCGCTCACCCCACTATATATTATTTTTTTCAGGTCTTGGAAAAGAATCGGCGGATGCCAATCCACCTCAAAATTGAAAGTTGTTAGAAGATGATTTTTGCTATTTTGTATTTGGCCATTTCATGTATAATTATAATTTTTGGAGAATGTAAATAAGTTTGCAATGTTGGCCATTGGATGATGTAATTAAGTTTTATTCAATCATAAGCCTTTTGTGTATTTAAATAACGTGTGGTGATTCATGTTATTGATGGTTGTTGTATTTTTATTTGATGTTAAAATGTAATTAACTTTTAATTATACTAAATCCTCTAGTGTATTTTAGTGACGTGTGGTAAATTACGATGCACGTAAGTGTAGTGACGTGGGTTGTTGAACGATCAAAAGTTGGTGTATAGGGGTTACATAGGACAGTGGAAAATGGGAGTGAAGATTTTCTAGAACCGGTTGACGTACAGTTTCCCAAACCAGTCGACCGGTATCTTCACAGTGTATGTTTGAGTAGTTGACGTCCCAAACCAGTCGACGTATGGCATCCCATACGTTGACCGGTATCCTGACCCCAAACCAGTCGACTATCTCAACAGTGAGTTTTTCCACCATTGATCATCCAAACCAGTCGACGTATGGTATGGAGTTTTTCCACTGTTGATCATCTAAACCAGTCGACGTATGGTATGGATACGTCGACCGGTTTATGTCACTTAAGTGGTATGTATTTAATTTTTTAAAATTACACTTGGCACCTAATTAATGTTGCATGTAATTATTTTTAGGACCCAAATAAGTGCAATAATTATGCTTTGACCACCGAAAAGACTACATTGCCCCCAAAACTCATTTTATTTGTTACGTGATACACGTAAATGACTATGACGTCCTTTTGGTTTTAATTTATTGAAATATGGCAAATTACCATCTTGCCCTTTTTGGATCTCAATATTTAAATTTAACGTGAAATGACCGTATTACCCTCGAATGTTTTTGGGTTGGGTAAGGACCCGTATAATGATTCGGATCCATGAGGAGCTGGGTCGTTACAGATCTGAAGCAGCTCCAACGATATGCCGTAGAAGCCGACCTCGGCCTCGCTGTCGGAGACGAACGCGAACAGATCAGAGTACGCGCCGTTGCGGCTGATCTCCTCCTGCCACGGTGAGCGCCAGTTGAAGACTAAGGTTCCTTCGACGGAGAGGTCGAAACTCAGCGAGTGGGACTTACCGTTGTCGTTGTCGTAAACGGTGAATGTGCGTATATAGTAGCGGCCGTTGGGGACGGAGACTGTGTAATAGTTCTTCTTAATTAGAAGTAGGTTTCATGTACATGCTTCTCCGGTGATAGCCCGGCCAGCAGCTTCTGCAAGAACCCATCTCCGGCTAGCCAGATTTCGTGGATGCAGTTTAGATCCACGGGGTGTTCTAGGTTTGTTGATACGAGGGCACCATTGTCCTTTTGAGTTTATAAGTTAAGGATAGTATTGTAAATTTATAGTGATTATTGAGATTAAAAATGTCATTTCAGCATTAGAAGGGTAAAATTGTCTTTGTACTGATTTTTTTCTGACTGACATGAGCATAAACAGTTAGTTGTTTAACGCAGGGGAGGTCCGTGTTATCAGTATATAAACTTCGAAGGAGGTCAATATTATTTAGCAAACAAGAGAGGAGGTTAATGTATAATGACAAAATTTTAGGGGAGATCAGTTTAATTACCCCTTAATATTTTTAGACTTAAAATAACAATGTTTGTAACATTGATGTCCCCTTTAAATGTGTATGATTTTCAATTTCTAAGTTATTTCATATTTATAATCGTGCTCATTTCATTTCAACTTGCATTCCCTTCAATTTCTGCATACTGAATGTAACTTTAGAGGAAATTGCTTTGTTTAAATTTAATACAAACTTGTAATTCTTTATTTAATGAAAAAAAAAAAAAAAAAAACACTCACACGCACACATCAAATGTAAAACTCTTTTATGTTGTGTTTTTGTAAATAGAGAAAAACTCTTGCACTTTTATAATAGTACATGGATAACAGTCATACACGCATCAAATGTAAACCTTTTTATGACATGTTTTTTTTAATAACACATAGATAACACTGACCCACACATCAATTGTAACTCTTTATGACATGTTTTTGAAAAAGAGTAAAACTCTTACTCTTTTTTTTTTTTTTTTTCACGTCAAATGTAAACTCTTAAATTTTTTTTTTTTTTTTGTTATACATAGAGAAAAACTCTTATACTTTTATAATAACTAGTAAATTTCACGTGCATTGCACGTAGTGAAATAATCATTGAAAAATATAGTATAGATTTCAATAATAGTATATTTAATTTTTTTTTTTTAATATCTATTGATTTATATTTTAATATCTATTTTTTCTCATTAATATATATTATTCAATCCACATTTCTACTATATTTGAGAAACTAATATATACTAATTTGTTTATAAAGACTAATTACACGTGTATGATAATATTTTTACTTCACAAACAAAGACACGAATTAGTTTATTACCAAATTACTATTTAATCTACAAAGATATGTCAATAGTGGTTTTATTTTTCTATATAGGTTTTTTGATAAATAATTAATTCAGGAGTTTTCTCTAGATTTCTTACTTTCACTAATCACTATTATACTCTTAAAGAGTTTTAAGAATAATGAAATTAAATTTTATTTGTATTTTGTTAATATTGTTTCAGTATCATATTTTGTTGTACGATAATAATATATTAATTTAAGTTTTTCATTTTCGTCCTTCTAAAATTTAAAATCTTTGTTTAAATTTTTTTGTATACAAAACAAAAAACTTTGTACTTTTGTTATAAATGGTTGTTATAAGAAATCAAGATGAAACTTGAAAGCACTAAATACACACATATCTATATATATATATGTGTGCGCGCGCGCGTGCGTGTATTTATAAGTATATGAAACAATAAGAAAGTGTCACAATGCTGTATTTTTCTCACATGTTAAATCATCAAAAACATCACACTTTTGGTCACAAATTTTGACAAATAATTTGTTTCAATAGGGAGTTGTTTGTCCCAGGTTAATAGGACCTCATCTATTTGGGCCTGAGGTCTACTAGTTTAGCCTTCGGCTAACATTGTGTTTTGGGCCCTTTTAATTTTGTCCATATATATTTATATATTGAAATTTAACTTTCAAATAATAATAATAATAATAATAATAATAAATTTGACAAATAAATGAATAACAAAAATTAGTTGACCCCTTATGAGTTAAAAACAAAAAAGTTTTCAAAATCCTTCTTTTTCAATGATCCAGGATATTTCCTTATAAAATTTTAGTATCTTAATTTGTTGTTTTCAGGTGTTGCAAGCGCAAAAATCAGTTGCTTAAAATATATCAGTGGCTTAAAATTTCAAAAAAAAAAAAAAAAAAAAAAAGCTTACAAAAAATGTTAGAACATTCCATCTTGGGTGGCAAATGGAGGAATTGGATCGAATTTGGACTGTGTCGAATATGGGTTGTGGTCCATAGTCAACCTGATTGGTTGGATCAAAATTGTCCGGATCTATCCGTCGGCATGACACAGACTCGAAAAAAATTGTTATATTATTTTGAATAATTTTATCATTGTATATTTTTTTTTGCTAGATAATTTTTTTTTTTTCATTGGCCACTTATCTTTTTTTATTAACATGGATTCAACAACCAGCGAGCTACTGTTGAATACCCAATCACAATTTATCTTGGGGGGTTTATTGAGTGGGAAGGGGTAGCTTTAGCACATGGAGCTTTAAAATTGATCATAATTTGAGCATTTAGAACAAATAGAGAGACAGAGATATGCCTTCATTCCATGTATTATACAAAATAGCTGGCCCTAATTTTCTGTTTATTACAAGTGTAGGCATTGAAAAGTAACATGGAAGGGTAAAATAATCGTCTTAATAAACCTACACCACACATATTTTACTTATAGCGTATTCATCACACCCGATAAATTATTACATGTAAATGGTTTGGAACTCCGAAACCAATAGTCCGATAGTCATGTAATAATTTTTCTGCATTACCCTTCCAGTTTTTAGTCACATGCAGTGGGAGAAAATTGATTGCAAATCTTTTGATAGTTAAAGAGGGTTTTTGTCCATATTGATAATATGCAAAAAGTAATAGTTTAAAAAACTTTTTTTTTTTTTTGGCTTGAGCAATATTGATAGTCATTGCTCTAAATGGTTGATAATGATGTGCACTCTCTAAAAAAATTACCAATCCGACTTCTCTTAGTGAGATTGAATCTGTTCAGCACTCGACGGCTATAATTATTCACACGTCTGCCACAATCACACGTGTAAATGATTGTGACGGCAACAAATATAATATAATAGGAAGAAAAGGATCTGTCATTTGTCAAAATAAATAAATAAAGGAGAAAGAGGAAGGAGGACTAGAAAGAAAAAAAAAAAACACTCAAGTGCTGAGATTAAGTAGAATGTGCATTTTCTTCTTTTGCATAATTGTCAAAAGATGTTTCATGTAAAATCATTTCGAGTAAAAGCACGTTGTTTGTTTGATTAAAAGGATAAATGCAAGAAATGAGACTTTAACCCTTAATTACTTAAAATGTCAGTACTATATAAACTAGAACCAAACAGATTTGAAATGACCTAAAAAAATTCACAATTGAAATAAGAGTAAAAACTCTATGCATTCATGACATGTTTCTGTCAAGACCATTCCACCATCACAAAGTCAGACCTACGCCTTCACGTGGAATTCGGAGTCCAGTTTTGCAAAGCCCCACTATGTAGTTGTATTGTCAACTTAAAGTTGTTGCATTAACGATTTAAAATTGTTAAGACGTCGATTTAAACAATACAGGACCGAGAATTGCACAAGGAGATGATCCTGGTCCTATAATAACAGAATTCTCCCCAAACTTAGTTTTTGGTTTTTTTAAATAAAAGTAATTCGTCCCCAAAACTTTACATGGAAATTCTTAGTATAAAGATCAGATATAGAGAGAGCCCAATTGCCGATTAAGCAACTAATCAGGCAACTGTACAAATGCCAAGTCGTTATAATTACATTAAGTTGGAAACCAGAAACAATGGAGAAAATTAACCTCAGTTTTTGATTGAAGTTCATTAAGTTTCGACTTCATCTCCTCGATATCTTTAACTAATTTGAGCTCCTCTGCACCCTTCAGGAAGATCTTTTATCCATACTGAATTCAAAATTGGATTCCTGAACTTCCCGGCTTTAACTCCTTACCATTTTCCAATTTGGACTCCTCCATCTCCTTAGTTAACCTAAAAACGAGAAGAAAAAAAAAAGCCATTGGAACAAATTTGAATCCCAACTTCGGAACAAATATTAGTAGCAGGAGAATCTCTTACTGTGTGCGCCGTTGAGTGAGGCTTCCAACTTTACTCATCTTTCAGTAGTAAAGGTTCATAAGCTTGGTCTTGCTTCAAATGGGATTAAAAAAAAAAACAAGTTATAAAGAAGCCGGACATAGTCAATGATGTTAAGTAGCAGGAGAAGCTCTTACTGTGTGCCGTTGAGTGAGGCATTTAACTTTACTCAGTAGTTTATCTTTCAGTGTTGCAACTTTACTCAGTAGTTGATCTTTTGGAATTGAGGGTTCGTAAGCTGGGACCTGCTTCAACGTTCCACTGATCGGTGATAGTACAGGGGGATTGGGTGGGCTGACAAGAATCACTCTCAGCTTGCTCTCTTGGATGTATTTACCATCATCTTCGGCAAACTGCCAAATAATGTAATGAGCAACCAGACTAGAAATCAGGACCAACAACTTCCTATACAACTACTTACTGTGCTAGCTGTGATATCCTCCTTGGTTGTCCCTTCAGGAACGACTGTGCTTTGAACTAAAAACTTGTCTTCGCATATCATATCAGGAGGAGCTGACCGTTGTGCTTGCATTGTAACTGCATAAAATCCAAATGATAAAAGAAACAATGGCACCAATCACCATAAACAATATTAAAAAGAACAACAATAAATGGAAACTACAATGCAGGACCAAGTGCAGATGCTAGTTTTAAGTTCAATAACATATCTATTTGATGCAGATGGCAATCCAAAAGATTGGATACAGAATCAAATTATATTTTAACTGAGCATTAATATTTTAGGTCATCCGAGAAGTGTACACTTCATCATGGAAGGCACATCTTCTGCTTCTTGGGCAATGGCTCAATTCTCCTGCCTTACTGGAGAATAATAATGAACTAATGCATAGCTAATAATTATTCATCTCCTAAAACAAACAGAATGCAAATATGCTAGTCAGCATGTCCTCTTCATTAATGAGCAGGACCAACTTCTTCACTGATATCACGACTATTTTTTCAATAGTCACTTGTTCGCCTTTAAGAGAATGATACAGATTTCCTCTACAAAAGGATGAGAAGCTGGAAAAGCAAACTCTACATACCATGGTTTCCTTTGCACACTTATGACAGCAGTGACAGGAAGTTCATGTATTCTTTACTGAGCAATAAATGCTGTCAGGTCTAGACAGCGGATATCGACTTCAAAGACGACAAAGTATTTAGACTCAAACAACATCTAAAGAAAAGTGAAATCATTAAAATCCCAAAAATCACAACCCCTGCAACCCCAAACCCCAAACCCAAAAAAAATAGTTAACCAAGTCTGTCATAACAACACGCAAATAATCTTAATGAATTAGTAGATGAGCAAGATGATGCCATGTCATAGAATATCCTAAGATGCTAGGAATTCATGTCATTGCATCTCCTACAGGAAGGGAAACAGATGACCAAACTCCAAAATTAGTCATAATAACCTAGCACAAAATCTACCTATCACTTCCATAAATTGAGCATATAAATAATGGGGGAAATTAAGACGTAGAGAATTAGTAAGAACATATTTTAATGAATATTAATAGGACCTAGTGGAAAGACATTCAAAATTACATCCTTCTATTAGTTCCCTTGTCGACATCCTCAGAAAGCCAGATGTTTGATAACTTTCTTCTTTTTCCTTCTCCCAATCTTCCGTATCTTTGTTCTAATCTTCCACCACCCTCTCATTTGTCATTTTATTAACTTTCATTCCAACAACTACAAAGTTCAGCTCACAATTTCACATATGGAACCATTTTGAATTAATTTTGAACTTCTATTTTGACAAGCCCCAAAACATTAAAGCAATATATAGAAGAATAAGATATCATTATTATCATTACAAAGGCCATTAGCAAAGACTCGTCCATGACTTGGTGTTTTCATAGCTTCAATAAACCACACAGCTATCTACATAAGTTCTTAGATCCCCTAAAAACGATTTCCAATTCAAAGTTTTAAACCACTAACAAAATGAACTGCTTGAACTCCTCAATCTTTATGAGATAGAATTGACCATCCCCATTTGACTTAGCATCATTACTAAAATAGTTTCATATATATGCCCTGACAAACGTATCAAGTTTTTATTCACCTTTCCATTTCTGTAAAACCCTGTGACATACAATATTCAAGCACAAGGGTTATCTGGACAAAAAAAAAATAAAAACATTTCTCAATTTCCTACTCCGCCCATCTATCTCCCAAATCCATGTTAATTGTCCAAAATTCAACCACACAAATACCTCGTAGTCACTTAGGTATAGAAAGAACATACCTGTGAATTCACATGTTGACTTTGGATCAATTGTGCCTTTGTTTGGTCGCACACAGTATTTTTTCACAGCAGTAGTTTTAACCTGCCAATCATGCCATGATATTATTGCTACTTAGAATGCCATTTAGCAAATGCAATCTTTTCACTATTATCACTTTTGTGAATAAACAAAATGTGTCCGCACCTTAAAAGCAACACGATGATTGGAGTTATTGATCAGTTGAACACAGCATGAGATTTGCTTCTTCAATTCAACTTTAAAAAGATGACAAATGTATCCAGACATGTTAGTCCACTACTTTAATTTTAATGAGAGAGTCACTAAATATGATTGAGAATGAATTGAACTGAAACCAAAATCTGATCTTAGTAAAAGGTAAAACCATATATATTTTTTTCATTTGTTTTACCTACTTAGAGTATAAGCCTTCTCTAAAGCATAGCTAGGGTGTATTTAAAAATATTCTATCAAAATATGCACTTATGAACGTACATATTTATGTGTTTGTCTTCATAAACATGATCAAATATCGACCTCATAGCCAATAGCTTAACCATAACATCTGATTTGCAGGGACCGCAAAACTTAGTTCCATCATTACAAATTAATATATATGTAACTATTTGTGTATTCCTAATTATGAAATGAAAATTATGTAAAGAGCACCAGATCAACAGATGAGTGAGGTAGAAAGACTCACATTTGAATCTGAGTTCTCGGGGTTGAACATCCACAAGTTCTGTGTTCATTTTGCTGCCAAGAATCACGCTCAGCTTGCTCTCTTGGATATATTTACCATCATCTTTGGCAAACTGCCAAACGATATAATGAGAAACCATACCAGAAATCAGGACCAACAACTTCCTATACAACTACTTACTGTGCTAGCTGTGATATCCTTATTGGTTGTCCCTACAGGAACAACTGTGCTTTCAACTAAAAACTTGTCTTTGCATATCATATCAGGAGGAGCCGACTGTTGTTCTTGCATTGTAACTGCATAGAATCCAAATGGAAGAGAAACAATGACACCATCAACAATATTAAAAAAATAATAATAAATAGAAAATGCAATGTAGGACCAAGTGAAAATGGTAGAACGCGAAAACAACTTTTGGTTCTATAGCATATGCTAGTTTAAAGTTCAATAGCGTATCTATTTTAATGCAGATGGCAATCCGAAAGACTGGACATATAATGAAATAAATTTTACTTCTTTTCCTTTTGCAATGTCCATCTTCTATTTTAACCGAGGAATATTAATATGTTAGATCATCCAAGAGGCATACACTTCATGATGAAAGGCACGTCTTTTGCTTCCTTTGGTAATGGCTCAATAATAAACTTGTATAACTATTCATCTCCTAAAACTAACTGAATGCAAATATGCTAGTAAGCATGTCGTCTTCATTAATAAGCTGGACCGACTTCTTCAATGATATCACGACTATTTTTTCAATAAAAAGAATTATCGTCACTTATTCACCTTTAAGAGAATGATATAGATATCCTCTACAAAAGGATGGGATACTGGGAAAGCAAACTCTGCATACTATGGTTTCCTGTGCACGCTTATGACAGCAGCAACCGGAAGTACTTGTATTCTTTACTGAGCAAGAAATACTGTCAGGTCTAGACAGTGGATATTGACTTAAAAGACGACAAAAACTATTTAGACTCCAACAATATCTAAAGAAAAGTGAAATCACTAAAATCCCAAACCCAAAAAAAAATAGTCAACCAAGTATGTCATAACAAACGCAAAAAATCTCAGTGAATTAGTAGATGAGCAAGAGGATGCCATGCCATAGAATACCCTAAGATGCTAAGAATTCACATCACTGCATCTCCTACAGGAAGAGGAAGGGAAACAGATGACCAAACTCCAAAATTAGTCATAATAACGGAGCTCAAAATCTACCACTCACTTGAGTCACTTCCATAAACAGAGAAGTAGTAAAGAATATTAATAGGACCTAGTGGAATAACACTCAAAATTACATCCTTCCGTTAGTTCCCCTGTTGACACACTCAGAAATCCAGATACTTGATAACTTTCTTCTTCTTTTTCATTTTCCCAATCTTCCCTCTCTCTGTTCAAATCTTCCACCATCCGTCTCATCCGTCATTTTATCACCTTTCATTCCAACAACTACAAAATTTGATGTGTCCCAAATCATAACAGAAATCTATAGAAGATATTATTTTCATTACCAATGCCATTGGCAATGACTTATCCATGACTCGGTGTTTTCATAGCTCTCCAATACCTGACAGCTATCTACATAATTCACATATCCCCTAAAAAACGATTTCCAATTCAAAGCATTAAACCACTAACAATATGAACAGCTTGAACTCCTTAATATTTATGAGATAGAACAGACCATCCCCATTTGACTTAGAATCATTACCAAAATAGTTTCATGTTTATGCCCTGACAAATGTATCAAGTTTTTTAGTCAGCTTTCTATTTCTGTAAAACATCATGGCATAGTATTATCAGGAATAAATAATAATAAAAAAAAACATTTATCAATTTCCTAGTCCGCCCATCGATCTCCCCAACCCATGTTAATTGTCCAAAATTTGACCATGCAAATACCTTGTAGTCACTTAGATATAGAAAGAACATACCTGTGATTTCACATGTTGACATTGGATTAATTGTGCCTGTGTTTGGTTTCACACAGTATTTTTTCACAGCGGTAGTTTTAACCTGCGGATCATGCCATATTGTTGCTACTTAGAATGCCATCTAGCAAATGCAATCTTTTCACTATTATCACTTTTGTGAATAAGCAAAATGTGTCCACACCTTGAAAGCAACATGATGATTGGAGTTGTTGATCAGTTGAACACAGCATGAGATTTGCTTCTTCAATTCAACTTTAGAAAGATGACAAATATCCAGATATGTTAGTCCACTACTTTAAATTTAATAACACCGGCACTAAATATGATAGAGAATGAATTGAACTGAAACAAAAAAATCTGATCTTCTTTTTCGAAAGGTCAAAAAATCTGATATTAGTAAAAGGTAAAACCAAACTCTCCTTCTCCAAAGCATAGTTAGGGTAGATTTAAATATATATATATATATATATATATATATATATATATATCTCAAAATATGCACCTATGCACGCACAACATGATCAAATATCGACCTGATAGCCATATTGATAGCTATCAGGGGCCGCAAAACTTAGTTCCATCATTAAAAATTAATATATATATGCAACTATGTGTGTTTCTTAATTATGAAATGAAATATATATATATATATATATATAAGAGCACCAGATCAACAGATGAGCGAGGTAGAAAGACTCACATATGAAATTGAGTTCTTGGGGTTGAACATCCACAAGTTTCGGGTTCATTTTGCTGCAAATTCATACACGATTGTACAATCGCGAATGTCAGAAGCAGCATTCTACCATCGGTGACTATTACCAAAAGTTGTGATCAGAAAATTATAAAAAAACCAGAGCAACCTCCAAAAAGCACCATCAGAATCAACCTTCTTTCCAAAACATACATTAGAAACAGACTATGATTTCACCATGTTTTACTAAAAGTTGGGCGCTTTAACAAACTGAATTCAGAACAAAAACACCATACAAATCATAAACTCAGAACAATAAACTCAGAATTAAACTAAAAGAACCATCGGACTCAACCCTTCTTTCCAAACATACATTAGAAACATGCTATGATTTGACCATGTTTTACAAAAAGTCGCGCTATAACAAACCGAGTTCAGAATTGAAACCCACTATACAAATCATAATTCTTCAATTACACAACAATAAACTCAGACTTAAACTAGAAGTACCATCAGAATCAACCCTTCTTCCCAAAGTTACATTAGAAATCAACCCTTCTTTCCAAACATACATTAGAAACATACCATGATTTGACCAAGTTTTACGAAAAGTTAAGACTCAAAAACATTATAAAAATCATATTTCTTCAATTAAACAACAATAAACTCAGGCTTAAACTAGACGTACCATCAAAATCAACCCTTCTTCCCAAATTAACATTAGAAACATACCATGATTTGACCATGTTTTACTAAAAATTCAGAATCAAACCACTAAACAAATCATATTTCTTCAATTATCACGAAATACTAAATTAGTGGTACTTCTTTACTTTCCAAAATAGAAGGTACAGGTTCAAATCTCGTATTAGAGCATGTGAGCGTATTTCTTGTGGATGAAAAAAAAAGTAAAAAATCATAGTTTTCCAATTATACAACAATAAATTCATAACTAAAGTCAATGACGACTCAAAATCGTATCATACCTCTCAACTCAAATAGTCCAACAACACACGGTAGAGAAAAGCATGACCAATCGATCAAACACCACTTTTTGGAATCAGAAAAGAACCCAAAACTTACCAGATGGTCTGAACTGGCGACGAAGCCTATAGAGTTTGAGAAATTTAAATTAATGGGTTGTGATAGCAATGAATTTAAAGTCAATGATTTTTGAATTAAATTCAATTGCGTGAAAGTGCCGTTTAATGCCAAAAATGTAAGGACACATTCATCTTAGTACCGTGTATGTTTGTTTGTCTAGAAAGGGAAAGAAAGAAAAAACAAAAAAGAAAAAGAAAAAACTATACCTGATTTCAAACATAACTGCAAAACACCTTCTCCTCTCTTTTATTTATTACAGTATTATTATTTTAATCTAAACCCCTCTTCTTCTTTATTTTAAATAATTCTTGCACCGATTTATTATAATAAATTTATTTATTTAATTTAATTGATGAGTGAGGCTCAAACAAAAATAAACAATTAAATAATATACTGCCAGTAACTATCACAACTACTTTTTTATTTTATTTTATTTTATTTATATTCAATTTGCCTAGTATTTTAAGGGAAGGTTCCTAACCCAAACCATCTTTTGGTTCACTTCTTCCTAATTGGGTACGAATAAATAAATTATGTACCTTTAAATAAATTATGTACCTTTTCCAAGTAGAATTAAGGGAATTTTTGAAACAGCATTATTTCCTTCCCGCGTTGTATTCTACGAGCTATTGGAACCGCCCTTTTTCGAATATCTGATTTTTATTAGTTGGATATTCGATTTAATAATTTGATTTGTTAAAGGTTTAATGACTTATTTTTTTAAATAAAAAAAATGTTAAAAAAATGGACAAACAATGATTAGAATATAGAAAAGAAAAAATTGAAGAGAAACAAATATGGAGAGCAAAATTAGATCTTTACTCTTTTACTCCTTATTAAAGAAAAAAAAACAAATGTATATAATAGCATTACATAATATATGTTCAAATTATTATACAACATATTTTGTTGGATTGAATTAGTATATACGGATTGGATCACATTGGTCATAATTCATATTTAATTTCTAAGGATAATAGAATTTTATATTTGGATCATCAATAAATTATCGAATGAAATCTTCAATTCATATCTCAGTTATGAATTGAATCGGATCGAATTCGAATCAAAATTCAAGAGAATTGTCCAAATTGTTAGTTCCATTTATGAATTTGGACATTTTGACAACTTGTTAATTAAATCTTTAATGATTTTCTTCGAACCTTGTTTTCATTTTTTTTATGTCATTGAGACTTTAACTTGTAATGAATCCCATTTCCAAATGCATCTTCTAATTCTTCATAGAACGAAAGGTCATCCATTCAATAACCAATATTTAAACAAAATTTCTCCAATCAGTAAATATTTTTTAATATATAGTAAAATATTTAAGAAGAAAATAAATATTAAAACTTAACAAGAGTAATCTATTTATCAATTTTCGATAAGTTATTTTATGCGCTCTGTTCAATATACTCGGCATCGACTTTTGCTTAACATAAAAAAAGTAAAAATAAAAAAATATATTTTACCTAACAAAGGAAAATATGTCGAAACAAACGAAGCACCAGCTCTAAGTATAAATTAGTGATTTCATCTATGACTATATGAATAAAATATAGTAAAAAAACTAGCATATATATAATAATAATTTTATTATTTTTTAGTGTATTCATGGCATATGTGCATCCTATTGATTGGAGATTTGTCGTACCATAATGTCTGTATATTGCATCATTGTCTCGTATCCGTATAGACACTATTCCTTGCTTACATCAATTGATGGGCTTAGGGTAGCAGGTTCACAGATAATCGGGCTTAGGCCCAAGCTTCTGCTACATTCAACAAAGCAAAAAAGTTCAGTAACATGGGCCCAATAAAATATGGTCCATTATTAAGTGCTTTAAGTAGGGATGGCAATGGGGTGGAGTTGGCTAAACCCTACTCCGCCCCGTTAAAAAATTAGTCATATTAACTCGGCTCTAACTCCGGGACGAGTTTATAATTGGTATATCATTCTCGCCCTAATTTCGATAGACAAAATATCGACTCTGTCCCGCTTACTCCGTTTAATTACAGTAAAATTGAAACTGTTGAATTAATTTTTGAATTTGGAATAAAATACTAAGATCTTGAATTCTTGATTGATTCTTAAAAATTGAATTACGTAATTTTAGTAAATAGTGAATCTAGTTAATATTTAGTCAAAATATATTAATGGACACTTAACTTATATATATACTTTATATATAAATATATATATAACCGGGAGTAGGACGAGGGTGAGTTGGGGGCATCAATAAATCCATCCCCACCCCCAAACCCAAACTCGTTTCAAATTTTTAATTCTTTTATCATATTTACTTCAGACTCATTTATGAAATTATCAAATCCGTCTCATTAAAAACGAAGCGAGCGAAAATTCAAAGAGTGGGAGGAAATTGCCATCCCAAGTTTTAAAGACTAGTTTTGGCTCAGCTTGGAAACGGACACTCTCTTTGAAGCCTTTTTCTGACAATAGACAAAACGTCCATGAATAATCAAATTTATAATTGTCACTATCACAAACGGCGGCATTTCGCTATTCTCATCTCACATTTCTCTTTCTCTCTCTAAAACTTTCTCACTCTACACTCTCTCAATCCATGGCCCATGGCCGCCATCGCAGGATCATCGCTCTCTCTGCAGTTTCGCCCACGCCTTTCACATCACAGCTTGGTATATCAGCTTCTCTCTCCCTCCAAATCTGATTTATCAGTTTATATTGTTTTGGATCATTGTTTGTTTGTTGGATAAAAGCATTCACTTTATTCGTCTACTGGGGGCTTATATAATCATATAAGCCACCTGTTTATCTAATAGTTATCAGATTATTCATTTTCAAATTCGATGTCTTCTTTTTTTTTTTTCAGATGATTTCTCTTTGTTTTTCTCTGATTTAAGTTTTGTTGATAGTTGATTTGTAATTTTGAATTTGCTACGGTAACTTTTGTTTCGGATTCTGCAACTACTTATTTTATTTTTTAATTGACCAAAAGGAAGCAATTTTTGCTCTTAAAAGCAAAATAAATACTTATTTCATCTATCTTTTGTCAAAATGGTGATTAAAATTATTGGTAATTTATCTCTGTGTGAGATCTGGAATTTATAGCTGATGATCTCCTGAGATATTGCTTGGGTTTAATTCATTGTAGCTAAAGTTCTTACTCTTGACTCGAAAGGATTGCGGTGATATATATATTTTTTTCATTTCAATTCATATTTGATTTTAGCTCTTCCATTTTAAACAAACTCAATTGCTCAGTTAGATTGCCCTCGAGTTGGACAAGTATTCATCTCTTTGCGATTTTGTTAATTTAGGCATTTCGGATCTCTGACAATGTGTAAACAATGTAGCAAAACTTTGGCCAAAGTTAGTGCTATAATACCAAATAGATACAAATACATTTAAGCTCTGCCCTTCTAAAAGGAAGAGCGAAAGGGAGAGAAGATTTATTGTATATCATGATGGCCATTTATTAATCATATATTTTATTTAGTTTATCACGAATAAGATTTTTTTCCGCATTGCATTGGTGACCTGACTGACTACAGTTACAGCTGTAGAAAGAACTTTGACGATGCAAAACTTTACTGAAATCTGAATTCATAAAATCAGTTGTGGCATAACATGGTGTCATGGTCTAACATGGTGAGAGTTCTTTCAATGAAGAAAGTAATGAATAGGACTTGTAACTTGGAGATAAGCGACCACCAGCTACTAGCTTGAGTGGTATCTCTTGCCACTCATGAGGTGCAGGGTTGAAGCGAACTTGGATGTGTGTGTGCTTGGGGTGGGGGAATAAACAAAAAAAATTTGGGGAAAAGCTGCACTTCCTTTTTTTACTATCTTTTTTGCGATTGTTATCCATGTATTACCATATCCTAGTAGTAATATCATTAACTTAAATTCTTGTGCTTAACATGTGAAACAGGCAACAAACAGGATTTCTTGTCTGAAGTCGGTTTCCATTTCTAATAAGGGCAGAAGTCTTCTGTCACTCAGGTTGCAGCCACTGCAAAGTCGATTTTGTGTTTCTTGTGCTGTATGTAACTATGCTGTGTTTTCACTTACACCTGTGTAAAACATGTGTCCTACCGTAAATTTAGGTTATTGTGAAGTGTGAATGTATCAAATTCTATAGCACACTACAAATCAACCAACACTTTTGACCTTATTTAATGTGGAGACATGGAAATATTCCTAGATGCACTGTAAGAATGCAGTTATAAAGATAACTATGCCATTTGTTTTCTGATTATTGGCAACTGGCAAGTATGAGCATCCTAAATAGAACTGTCATCTCTGTATGAACTTTTCATGATGTTATGTCCCGATGTAGCTTGGGGAAAATGGTAGGTTATGCTCATAGATATAACCACAGTGAACTACTTCCCATTTTAGAGACATTGTGTCTACCAGCACAAAATATCACGTCACGTCATGCAGGCTTGGCTTAAAATCTCACTGGTTACTTAGCCGATGTATAGTAAAATAATGATGAGAATATGTAATGCATGCATGTTTGCTGGTCAATGCTTATGTTTTCAATCCCCCAACGAAGATGAAGTGAACTTTTAATCTCCTTGAGCAGGCAAAACCGGAGACAGTCAAAACGGTATGCAAGATAGTAGAAAAACAGCTGGCTTTACGAATGGGCTATGTGGTTATGGCTGAATCAAAGTTTGTAGCATTTGGAGCTGACTCCCTTGATGCGGTAACCAATGAGAATTTAGGAATTTTCCATATATGTTGTTGAAACGATATATTTAGTTATGTACAAATAAATATTTGTTGTATACCTATAATGCTTCTACCTATTTGATTTTAATGTTCTGTCATGTTTGGGTCTAATCTGCATTGTTAATCACTGTCTTTTTTATTTTTCTGAAGAAAAAAATGGAAGAAAAAGGTAGCTTTTGTTTGGGAGCTAGTGTTTATTTGGCAATTCTTTTGCTTTCAATATATCATTTTATTCATTTCAAATTTGAATTAACATTTGTTGATTTAGTGGATTGATTTATAGTGCGGAGAAAAGCTCCATATTATCATCACTGCAGTTGGTGAAGGCATATGATAGCTGATGGTGTGATCTCATAGTGAATTAGTGATAGTGTTTGTTGTTTATAGAAGGTAATATAAAATTGATAACATTTTTTTACAGCTGTCAGTAGATGCTTCCGATAGAAAGCTCTTAGGATGAACAAAGAGTAGGTTATTTGGAATATAATTTTAGTGAAATTGGTTGAAATGTGATTATTGCAGGCTTTGTTGTTTGGCTGTAAATAGAGAGGGGGTATTCAAGATGCTGTAGTTCATAACCTTTGTGTGCAACTAGTGAAGTGGTCATTTCCCTTTAAGATGTTGCATGTGCAGTACTTAGGTATAACAGTTTAAGATTAAATGGAAAATTCGGCAGACAACTTTGAGATCTACTATGCAATATGAGAATGTCAGGCAGTCAACAAATAACAGTCCGTAAGCCATTGTATGGGTATAGAAGCTCGTATTTGCTTTTGGTAGAAAATCGATATAGAACGAGTTTACCCACCAAAAAACTTTTGTGAACTTTTGTGCGAAGACAATAGTTTTCATTTCTTTTATGTTCTCTTATTTCTTTTCCTAATGGATAAAAGAGGGACAGGAAGGAGGGGAAAGGGGGTATTAATTTTCGTTCTAAAGCAAAAAGTCTTTGTGCTTGTTTACCTTTTATTCATGTTCAAACAATATTAAATACAGAGATATGATGCATCATCTTAAACCTAATGTTCTGATCTCAACTCTGTGAATCTTTTTCCACCACCATCAGTCAAGTGAGTTGTCAAATTATTGTCACTTGATCCACACTTGACCAAATTAAATAGAGAGATATAATGCATCTTAAACCTTGTTGTCACTGTTATGATCATTGCAACTGCTACCCCAAACTGGCTTTATGCATTTTTTCGCAGTAGGGTGATTAGTCATTCGTGTTGTCTACTGTTTTAAATGCTTGGTTGGTTGTTACCTTGTTTATCCTGTTGTCTGCCATGCCTTTTGAGGTTGAGATTGTGATGGGACTCGAGGAGGAGTTTGATATCAGCGTGGAAGAGGAAAGTGTGCAGAGTATCACAACTGTTCAGGACGCCGCGGATCTTTTTGAGAAGCTCATTGAGAAAAAAGGTGCTTAGAGGAAATGGACAGGAACTGAAAGCGGGAGGGTTTTATTTATTTGATACATAATTCTTAGCTTTCTAGTTGGTGAGTGCTATGTAAACTCTTAATTTTCCATCATCTATGTTTAGCAGAACTTTATAAAAATATATGCCTTTTGCTACAACTTTCATTTAATTATGAAATCATTGCCATGCACATTTAAGGTGGTCCTTCCCTCTAGTAGACACTTGAAACTAAATCTGGAAACTTTATTGATATTTAGGTTTTCATTGTGTTGGGGGATACAAGTTGATACTTTTGTTTTGTTTGGGAGCACCAAAACGGTGCTTTGTCCAAGGCTCTGATTTGGTGCCGCCAAACACAGCTTGTGTTTATTTCCATTGAGATGTGGATTGTTTCGATAAAACAGATGTTAACTTTGCTGTGAATGCTACCAGTTGCAATTTAGGTGGGAGAGGAAGTGAAAGAATTGTGTCCCTCTGTGACTAATTCACGGTTAAGAGACTGGTAGTTTTCTGTTAATAGTGTCCTTCAATTTTTTGTTCTTTTGTGGAGATAATAACACGTGAATTATAAGCTAAGAGCTCTGCTCAATGGTTCAGCACATTGGAACAGTAGACAGAAACTTAGAATGGAAGTTGGAAGGATGATACATCTATATTCAAAGAAAATAAAGGAAGTTTTCCATGGAAAGTAGTATTGTATAATTTGGCTACTACGTTTCGGAACCAAAAGGTTTGTGAAAAAAAATAAATAAATAAAAAGAAAAAAAACTCACTCCCCTCCCATTTCCTGAAGGGGACATTGTTCCTTCCTTCCATATTTTCCCTCCCTTCACAGCAAGGAAGAATTATGTTTCAGTTACTAGCGATAATACAATATTTTTTATTTTTCGTTGCTCAAACAAATAAAACTATAGTCACACTGTCAGATAAACACTATAAAACAATCAAGCCATTTGAGAACAATTAATTAACTGGAAAATGAAAAAAGAAAAAATGTGTTTATGAGCGTTGCCACGTTGACTCTAACCGAAGTGTTTCTGCCGAGTTAGTTTAGTTTAGGTTTGCATAGAGAATTATTGTGGACGTATTCTGCTGACGTGGGTGAGAAACTCCACAACTGAGGTAGGATCAGATGCAATACAAGCATCTGTTGTGTGAAGATTGTACATCTCAGAAGGATTGTGGACCATAAGATGTAGGACTGTGAATTCTCAAAAAGATTGTGAAACCTCATATACAATACAACTCTTGCGACGGATTGCACAAGTCACTAGACTTTTGGTTATGAAACGAGTACACCCGCGGGCAAAACTAGTACATTGTTATTGTATATGTGCAATGTTTCACATTGGGAATAACTATTGGGTGCACGGTACACCCACTAATCCGAGCCGTATGTGTACAACACGTGTACACATGCAGGCGTGCGCATACAACTCAGATGAGCCCGGTGCACCGAATACCTTCTCCCACATTGGGTGTGTAACTAAGGTGACCGTGGATCAATTAATGGGCCACAAGTGACTTTCTTTTTAGTTGCAAAATCGACCTAGTGGGACACATCAATAACTTCTGATCTTATATTGAAAATTACTCACACACTTCCATACAAAGCAATCACAACTCTATTGTACACTTCACTCTGGTTTCATAGTTACTTTAGCAGCATCTGAACCTCTAGAGAAAAAAGATAAAAGAAACCGCGTACAAAATATTCATGAAACCTCCCTTCCAGCCGGGGCATTCAGTTTAAGGCACCAGATCAAATGGGGTCATATTTACTTTTATTTATTTACAGTGTAATACCCAACTAGCATTTCGTGGTTCAGACAACGTTATCATATCATTCCCAATCAGCATCGAAAAAGCCAGCATCTTTCATCTCAGAGTAGTACACATTCTCCAGATGCAAATCTTCCTCCTGCGGTCATTTATATAACCACGTCTAAGGGCTCAATAAAAGATGGTGGCAAAGCACACTGACAGAACTAGAACATAAATAATAAAAAGAAAAAGAAACAAAAATGTAACCGAAAAGAGGATAGTGACCTGGAAAAAGTCCGCTAGAAACGTAACATAGAGAAGAGGTAGATAAAAGGCATGGTAGCAAATAACCGTGACATCATACAACCTGAACAACGCATGAAAGGAAACAATTAGGAATCTAATGTGAAGTGAAAGGTTAAAAGGAAACACTTCGCTTTGCAAAATGAACTCGTTTGACACAAACCAGAACCCAAATCCGGCCCCATGTCCAGTAAGCCCACAAGCAAATAGAGCCAATGCATTCATGCAAAACATGATGGTGATGTAGTTGTAGAATGCAGGTCTTGCTGTAAAAAGAACCAAGATAAATCAAGTTGAATTAAAACAATGTCGTTAATAGAGGACTAATTTTAATAAATACATAAATTAGATGAACTCACCTGGTAGCCTCTCTCTCCATCTAGAGTGATAGATGAATAAAATGAAGCCATAGATAGCAGTAAGCAATAGCTTGTGAACAACCCATAGGCCCCATTTCAACTTGTGGGTGTCTTCAGAATTATAAATGAACAAAGGAATCGCAAATCCAAATATGTAGATTGCCTGAATAAGGAACAATATGCAATAAAAAAATTATTATATAATAAAAATAGCATAAAGATATCTTGAACTTGTTTGACTTGGAAGCGGCAAAGCATGAAAGGAAAAGGAAGGTGGGAAGCATAGCATACAATTTTTTCTTTTAAATGTTAAGTGAGGAAGCATGGCAAAAGAAGCAATAAACATAACATTAGATTGCTGGGACCACTTTTCTGCAGCATTCTGGCATATCTATGCAATGTCTGTTTCACAATTCCAACAGATAGATATATGGATCTGTACAATAAACTCAATGCAGACGATAAGAACTGAGAGATTACAGAAATTTCTTTTGAATACTTTCTCAAAGCATAATTACTTATTCAGAGCATGAATTACCCTACAATAATACAGATAATCAGACAGTCCAGCTAAAGGATGATCCTCACCCTTTTTCCCTCCTCCCTTCTACGCAAATAAAGATGATTAATTCTTTTTTTTTTTTTTTTTTGCCCTTTTGCCTTTCTTTCTTATTTTTACTGTTTGAAACGTTGTTCTTTCCTATTTAATCCACTTGGTCCCATTAATTTGAACCCTTCACCTCTATAAATGAGATCTCCTCCAAACCACCCAACAACAGATCATTGGTAAATTTAAACCCAAAATGTTCCCAATTGACTGAGAATCTACAGGGCTCTTAGGAAAACAACTCATCTCCACTCAATCCATTATCAATATATTTCGCATGCAAGTCTGAAAGAAATGCCAAAGATTTGGCTTCCCGGGTTTGATTAGGGCAGAGAAATTTCAGATCTGCTGGCATTAAAAGTAGAGAAAACAGAAATTACTTATACCATCTGATCTCTGCAGAGCCCAGGCACAATGATCTGTCCTGGGTTCCCTAAAGAACAACAACCATCTTTTTAAGCTCCATTCGGTCAATAATGAGAGGGTTTAATTATGCAACTACTGAAGATTTAATATGGAGGAATCGGGGGAGGAAATTCTTCAATAGCAACAATATTTCAACCAACCACCACTAAGCATACATGGGTCCTTAATATGGATCTGCTCTAGTAGCAACAACAGTCCCAAGGCTTCACCTAAAATTATTATTTTTTGATAAGTAAGATTTCATTAGAAAGTGCTCAAAAGAAGAGCGCAGCCCAAGAACAAAAGCAAGACCAAGAGGGTCTGCCATACAATCAAAGCAGGCTTCACCTAAAAAAACAAAGGATGGTTACCAATCAAACCATATTTAACATGTACTCCCCTATTTCACCTCACTTCTCCGTGTTGACACGACATGACATGGGTATGTAAGATATGTTTCCGAGACAAAACCCCAAATCAGACACACCGATCTTTTCATGATTGAAGGAAAAAAAATAAATTTAATAGCAGATATTCCATTCCTATCTATGAGATAATGGCAACCATTTTCTTTTAGCACATCCAATTTAATTTGAGTAATTATTCGATTTTATTCTTATAAAACAACAACATTAAACATTAAAGTATAACAAATATATAATCTATTTAAGTGAGTAGTAGGTGTAGAATTACCCGTATCCAACTTGTGGACACACATCCCTGTATCCTGAGATTTGGGATTCCGGTAGGTCCAACATTTGAACACACATCCTCGCTCTATACACTTACCAAGTTCGGGTAACATAATGAAGACGAAGAAGAAGAAGAAGAGAGAGAGAGAGGGGTAGACAAGAGGAGGAAGCTAGAAAATACCTTGAGAAGTATATCTACACCAACAATAATTCCTGAGACAACAAATGTCCGTGTTAAAGCTTCCAGTCCACTTGCATAATTTCCTTGGAGTAAAAATGCCATCAAGCTTACTTCAAGAAACAGCATTCCAGATGTTGTAAACAAAGACAAGATATTCCATGCTAATTCTTCCGCAGGAGTGCACTCCCATGCCTGGTCAATAAAGGAAAATCCATCAAAAAAACTGCCAAGTCTTATAGCACCAAGTAAAAGCCATGGTAAAGAGTTACCAATAAATGGAAATCTGTTAAAATCACATTTCAGGTAACACAAGAAACATGGAAGAGGCTAAGCTGCAATGTGGCAATTAGCATCATAGAAAAATTACAAAAAGCTGATGTTTAGTTGCATATAACAATTGTTGCAGATAAAGTTGTTATTTTTTATTTTTTTATTTTTATTTTTTTTTTTAAAAAGGGAATATTTTCAATGGTTTCATATTTCCAAAAACACTTATTCCTAACAATGACAGACAATTCAACCAATGGTCACCTATCAGGTTGACAGTACATAAAACTAATCCAAAATGAAAACCTGCAGATGGTTGATCCAGTATTTAGTATGAAAATTGAGGATCATAGTTATCATACTCAAAGCCAACATGAACCAGTCAAGAGGGAGGGAAATTGAGTCTATGGCTCAAACATTGGATCATCTGGCTGATCCATAAGATAACAACTATATTTTATCATTTTAACTAAATAAACCTACCAATATTATTATTTATGTAGACATATAATGAAATGTCAATTTTGTATTGAATCAAAAGAGACACAAAGTATAGAAACAAATAAGAAAATACGTACTTGTATGAATATGTGGACTCTCACATGCATGCAATCATATATATTGTATAATTTTCACATTAAGGGGTACATACAAAGTGTACATACACTGATATAATGATACATTATTTTTATCATTATTACATGCAAGAGAGAGTGAGAGAGGAGAGGTGAGAGAGAAAGAGGAGATTATCTTTTAATAACACTTGCTGACCTAATAAAAGTGGAATTCAGTCATTCCATTAAATCATTATCATCCTTGCCTTTATCCAATATGAAAGGGTCGGCTTTTTTCATTTTTTCCTATTATACACCATGTTTATTCTAAGATTTAATTTTTTAAAATCATTTTTAATTACTTTATCCCATATAAGTTTTGGTCAGCCTCTTTGTCGTTTACCTTCTAGGCAAGCAACTCTACCTCCTTTAACCAAGTCATCTTTAGATCTAAATTGTATACGACTATACCACCCAAACTTTTTCGGATTTATCAATGATAGGAGCTATACCTAGTTTTGCTCTCACACAATCATTTTTAATCTTATCTCTTCTAGTCACTCCCAACATCCAGCGTAGCATCCTCATTTCCCCTACATGAACGCATTGTTCTTGTTTCTTTTTCAATGCGCAACGCTCCATGCAATTAACTGGCCTAATAACCATCCTACAGAATTTCTCTTCCAATTTATTTGATATTCACTTGTAGGATAAAATGCTACTAGCTTGCCTCCATTTAGTCCACACTACTCCAATTCTACTCTCTGGTCTTGAAGTGTAATATTTATATATCCTCTTTCACTACTTTATCAAATTTACATTCCATGTAATCTATTTTAGTTTTACTAATTTTTATGATATAGAGTCAAATTTGATGAATATATCATGGAATTAGAGACAATCCCTCGGGCCAAAATCTTTGGAATTTGCCTCATTCTTTCATAGGAATATAGTAATCTACAGTAATCGAACTGAAAATCCTGCAATCCCTGCATCTAGATCCAATAAGTACTAAAGCAGTAACACAATCTTTAGTAGAACAACTGACAGTGAAAACCATAAGACCAAATTTTCTAAAGGGAGTGGTTTTATCGGAATAGGAGACCAATCACAAAGTTGAATGAAACATCCCAAATCAATGGACAAAGAACATCCATAAACAAACAATATAAAACCTGCAACAAGCTCGAGGATGATAACCATCTGCCAAATTTGAGAATCAGAATAAAAGTTCCCGTGGTAACCCTCTTTTAGCCAAAATGTCTGCATCACAATTACTAATTTATGAATCCACAAGAATGTCATATATATTATACACAAACCAAATTCCTAATTTGTCTCTTGAAATGAGCACATCCCTGGTAGCCTTTATCCCTTTATTGGAGACTCACCAAGAAATCACTCAGGTCAATGGAGGCCACTTTCTTAAGCCTTGGAGGTCACTACCCCATCTTCGAGAGAACTGCATCAACATTACGTATGGGCTTGAAAGATGACAACCTTAGTTTCATACATTGAATTGGATCCCCTAGGGTACATCCATCAATATTTTGCTTCGAAAAACACAAGGGGAAAGTTCCCGCGCAGCTGAGACCTTCACCCTGTGATTATGTGTAGATGATGCTCCTTACAAAGATTTGATAATGAGAGTGGACCATCATAGGTGGGTCCACCTGGTGGTCCAATCTCCACCGTTGGTGAGTAAACGCTAGAGAGAATCCAAGTCCATAGTTTTTTCTTTATAAATTATAATATTCCTCTCCCATTCAAACCACCTAAATTAAAACAAGATCACAACTTCACAAAAATTTACCTCTTCGTTTAGTCCAAACCATTAAACCAATTTTAAAAACTTGGTGTATTCAGCATGGGGTCACCTAATCCACCCCAGCCACACCAAAGACTGACATATGGCATACGAGAGGTTACAACATAACAAGAAAAGATACGCTGATTATCTGTTATTCTTGCACATGACATTAATAAGGGAGAGGCATCTATTGGCACACTTAGTTTTGAAGAAAATCACTAGTGTTGACCTTATTATAAGAAACTGTCCGGGTGAAAAAATTAAATCTTTCAAGTCTCTTTGGACTCCCCAAAACATTTAAAGGGGAAAAATGAAAAATCAGACCAAGATAGATTCAAAATTAGGATCATTACATATTTGCATGTAAATACTAACTGAGTGGAATGTCAAACATTTATCATCATCCTCCAGAAAGGAAATATAAATTTTGTTGATACAAGGAAATAAGCAAGCTCATAAATTTCCCTATGACAAAGTTTTGGCACCAAATCAAAATGCCAAGTCAATAGGAAGATGAATCAAACATATTATTGATAAACACACATTTGGACCTAGAAAGACGATGAAGACCCAGAACAACGTGGCAAACTACAATCAACCCCCCTGAAGATCCTCCCATATTAATCCTCATCCCATTACTTACCCACAAGATTTATTATTATTATTGTTATTTCCTTCTTTTTCTCCCTTTGACAAGTCCCATTACTCATAAATCATAAGATATCGAGTGTACATGGTAAAAGTAGGGATACTGAGAGATAAATTTCCTAACCTAACAGTAATTCCAGCACGCAACTCTATGAATCCAACCATCTTCAATGAACCCATACTTGTACTCAACAAATTTGAAAGATAGTCATAACCAATTGGGAACCTCTATGACTATTTCCCAATAAGAGCATATCTCTTGGCAGTTGACATTAGGTTACCTGATCTAAGTCCTTTCAACCTACACACAGAAAAGAATTGACAACTACAAAATTGTCCTTCTAAGCTTCATTACTCCGGTCAATTAAAAAAAAAACAATGCAACTTCTCTGTCATTTTAGCATTTTGCTATCTTCATGAGAATCCTAGAAGGGAAAAGGTAATAAATAAGAATTTTAGTCAAACAAAATTAAACAGAATTAAGTCTCCCTTAAAATTAAACCTCACCTCCAAGAATCAAGCTCTTGCCTATTTTTTAACTACTAGAAATCTAAATAGACGATGCTAGAGTTACAACTTAGAGTAATGCCAGGATATGTCATTTGCAACTCTATCAATCAAAGCACCCAAGAAACCTTGCAAGCATTCATGCATACTCTTGAGTCTTGACATAGTACTCTCAGTCATTTATGCAACATATATGATCCTTACATCCATAATAACAGCATAAAATGGTCTTGTAGTCCATCCACGGGAAGCAGTAGTTCGAGGTCAAACTATTTTCAGACATTTGCACATTCAATTTAGCTTTTCCAAACTCCATATCTCATAAAAGCATATTCATAGTCAAAGCTCTCTCGTGCACCAAGAAGAACCACTATGCAATCTCATGGCATTTTATTATTAGTGCAATACATGTTCATAAACAATAATTCAGAGATTTTCTTGACTGAAGTCGAAAAACCATTCACAGAATGTAAAGAACAAACCTGAAGTGAGCACCAAGCAAAATTGAGAATGCTAACGATCCAAAGAATCCCGTAATACGCTATCATGATATAAGATCGGCCATACGACAGCTTCGCGAAGCTCTTCTTCCCCTGAAACGCCAGGTAAAACACGAACAAAGCAGAACACACCATCAAAACAAGATTATGCCCAAACCCATGACACTCGAACATCCAACCGTACAAACTCGGACCGTCAACCCCTCCATCTATGGTCGAATTCGAGACCGAAGAAGAAGAGAACGGAACCTCTGCAACAGCTTCGATAACTCTCATCGTTCTCCACAACCGAGCGCTAACTGCGTCGAAAGAACCCTAATTTTCTGTATTCTGAGATCGAATTTTCAGAATCAGAGTTCACGGACCGTCGGATTCAATAAAATCGATTGGCGTGTATGAAACTATGAATCAACGCGGATATTGTAGAGACTGTAGACAAAAATGTGCAAGAATGCGAGACTCCGTGAAAACCCTAGAACTTTCGCTGTAAAGTTGAAGCTCGGACTGAGAATTTGGGAAAAAAGTGAATTTTGATGTCGAAACCCTAACCGCGGGATTTTAGGTTGTCAACGGTTTGTTGAGCAGCTCTCAACGTGAGATGGATAAAAGGTTGGTGCAATCTTATGGAAATCATACCCGCCTACGTGTTCAATTGATAAATTGAAAAAAAAAAAAAATGAAAAATGAAAGTTTTGAAGTATTTAATATTTATTTACAAAATAATAATAATAATAAAGAACATGTTGGTAAAATTTTACTTTTGACATCCCTATTGATTTTATTTGTTTATTTATTTTTATAAGTAAAATTTTATTAAACCAATATATATATATATAATTGTAATGAGATACATGTTATGAATTCTCTTTTAAATTGGTACATTTTATGTATGAAAAATGCAAAAATTAATTATCACTTTGCTTGTATTAAATTGGTCCCATCATAAAATAAAATAAAATAATCATGTCAAAAATACCTTAAAATAAAATATTTTAGTTTGGCAAAACAAGAAAATGCATTTTTTTAATGGCGCAGACTTTTGCATGGTCGAACTTTAATTTGAGGTAAAATTGGATTTTTTTTTTTCAATTGCATTCACGAAAGAAATTATAGAATACATTTATTTAGGTAGGAATGCAAAGTCCATAAAAAATTATACTTAACATAATGCATAATGGTACATTTTAAAGTGAAAATCTAAGGGTTCAAATTAGCATAATGGTACTGAAAATTACAAATAAAATTAATTATGGAAGCTGATTTAACCTATTTAATTATCACTTTGCTTGTATTAATTATGGAAGCTGATTTAACCTATTAGAAGTGACAAAATTAGGGATTATGTTCACTTAAAACACTTGTAACACTAATTCACGTCCTAGCGTGGATTGCTGGTTTCCATGACAACTAACATTTTTTGATGTGTACCTCTTTCTTCGTTACAACAAACATTCTTTGTGTGTGTTTTTCTTTTTGCATTGATTCAAATCTCACCTTACACCTCTGTCTTTGGATGGTTCGCATTATTTCAATACTCTGAATTTAAAAATGGAGATCAATAGATTAGCTGAATTTTTTCAAAATAGATTTCAAAAGTAGGACACATAAACACGTTAATAGTCCAAGCATTTGTGGGTGTAAGGTTACTTCTGTATAAGAACATGAAGCACAAAACAGCTTCAAGTAATGCAAAGTTACTTAAAATTCAGAGTTTATGAACTTCCAGTAATACTCAAAAGTGCATTGATCTCTCCAATAATATTGACAGGTCTTCCATCAAATACGGAAGATAAATGTACTCTCTCACAAAGCTTTTTCAATTCCATGGATTTCGCCAGAGCTGCTTCCTGCAATTTAAAAAGCATATATCGTCACCCAGCATCAAATATTCAACCCCGAAATGTCTTTCGGGAGGGGGGTGGGGGTATTTTTCTAGAATGGAACTCAACAGTTGATTCTAATACATATACATTTAGGCTTATATGTTCCATTGCATGAAATCGGAGCTTTGAAATTGAAATTAGAGAAAAGCAATTAGGAAAATTATACCAATTTTTTCTCCAATTCCGAATCCACATCCAAATCCAAAGTTCCAATTCCATGCAACCGAACACACCCTAAAACAATGCAGAAATAGGATCAAATTAGGAAAAACCAATAATTTGACAATTATTGAGTAATTGATGTCAACTTGGTGTACAACTTCCATTAACTAAATGCAAAATCGAGAGGAAAAAAGTACATTGAATCAAAATCACATATACATCATTTGATTATAAATTAAGGTTCTCAATAAGCTTAACGACCAACTAATTAAACAACAACTGTAAGAAATTGTTGAAAAGACGAGCATTTTATTGTGTAGCATGCCTAAGGCTCACGAAGGCAACAAATTGTCTGACATGGCAATACTTTGAAGTGAACAGGCTATGGTATTGGCGAATGATATAGTCACCTATACTATACCCATAAGGAAAGGGCTTAAAACATGGAAGCAAAATATTTACTTTGAAACTCAACAATATTGTCCATGAAGTATTATTTAGGATAACCGTTCATGATTCTCAGGAAGATTTTCATTAATTAAATATAAAAAGGAGGAACGAAAAAAAAACAGAAAAAAGAAAGAACGAAAAAGATTTTCAAATTTCAAATTGGCATAGAGAAAATATACTAAAGTACTCCACTCAGCTAGGTGTTGTCTCATTAATTTATAGTTGTCACCATTTTGCTCTAGCTAACGCCTAAGCTTTGGTTAAGCCAAAGTATCACAACATGCAGATTCAACCATTTGAAAGTCAACATAGCATTTCAAATTGCGCAACAAAAAACCACCATACCCGCTACAAAATGCAAAAAAATCATCAATTAACCATGTTCTTTTGTGCAACCTTATGTCCATTTAGTGAACAGGGTTCAACCGGAACATACCAGTTCGCTTAACATTATTGTGCTCAACAGAAGTACGTTATACCCCATACAATTATGCTACATGGAACCTTATTATTGTGTCCATCTATTATAAGCATCAACTTATCGCGTAGTCAAGCACAGTTGCCACATTGGCATTGATCTTCCATTATCATAAAACAGCAAAAATTGAGGACGATCATTATAATTAATAAGTGCAAGTTATACTGATTTCGACATACATCAGGTTTAAACATCTACAATCATTTCGAAACTTATAAAATAAACATGTATTATACAAAATAGAGGTCAAATTTCCTTTCCCATCAAAGAACACGAAACAAAGACACCAAATTCTCAGGAGCACAACCAGTGATTACCTACAAACTCAAGCAAACTGAATAATATACCAATTTATTAGGATCAGACAGAAAAGCTACCTGCATATTCAAGCAAATTGAACCCATCATCCCCGCCACGAAAATACCTCTGAAAAATCCTATTCCGAGCTTCTTCAAAATTAGGAAGATCCATCTAAGAAATGAGTGTCAGTTCTTCAGTTGATGCATTCATTGAACATAACAACTCTAAAGTCTACACAAGGAAAACAAACCTTCATTCAAATAGGGTGAAGTCTGCAATGTATCCACTTTGCCATCTGGACTGTGCTCCGTGGTAAGGGAATGGCCCTACATAAGCAACACTAGTCAAATCAATACCCGGTATGGTTCCTCGAATCATGCTCAAGTTCTCATCCATGGCTCAATGAGCTTTTACCACAGGACCGATCAACGAATAAGCTCCTCTTCTATTTTAACGCTATATCAGGATATATATACATATATATATATATAGATGAACAAACGAAGGGGGCACAGGGTCATCCTAACATTCTACATTCAAATATATTTAATAAAAGAAACTAATCTTGCATTTTCAACACAGACCATACTTTATAAAGAGTTGAAATAGTTCTTATATGAGACAATTTCATTCAAATTCAACACAATCTCGTAAAATTGTTAACAGAACAACCTATTTCTCAAACAAAGGGGGCATAAAATTATGTAACCAAAACATAAAAATTAAAAAGAGAAAAACAAAAACATAAAACCATTAACCATAACCAACATAAACTTCTCCATCAGATATAAGATACTTCCATCACTGGTGCTACCGATAGAAGAAGTGTGATGCATTCCTTCCAATCCACCACATGCTGACACAAAATGTTCTTCTCGTTAGCAAATAAACTAATATATATACACACACACACATTCAAAACGAAGACGCATAGGATTAATTAAATGCGGGAACACCAGGTACCACTAGCATTTTCACTGGGGACTGATGATGATGTGTTTTTCAATTGAGATAGAATGCTTCTGAGTGTCAACACCAGAGTTCAATTCTTCAATAGCTATTTCCTTCAATTGACTCTCGGAAATAGATTTTCCATTGGAATGCTGAGAACTACCAAACATGCTAGGCCAATCAGCGGAGATTCCCAAATTTAATGGCTCATCATCAAAAAACGAGGCTGTCCACGTACTACTAATGAGGTCAGCTGAACAAAAGTTAGAGAGTCAAATATGGTGATATATATATATACATTAATCAAAACAAAGGCGCAGAGTACCACTAGCATTTTCAGTGAGGAAAGTAACAATCTGTTTCTCAGTTGGGATAGAATGCTTCTGACGCTTAGAACTAGATTTTCCATCAAGTTCAGGAAGATCAAATATACCAGAAACATCAGTCAAGAATGGGTCATCAAATCGATTGTCTTCTTCAAAAGACCGCCTCCATTGTACTTGAACAAAGAAACAGGTCACCTGAACAAAAGTTACCTCAGAATCAAGAGCAGCATATGGAACCTAATATAGCAGTGTCTTAGTGTGAAGACCCAGAACTACAAATACACATATATATGTGTGCGAGTCCGTGTGTGAGAACAAAAATTTATCAGTCTATAAACCTAACATCATCTGTTTTCATTCTGAATTCTAATTGAAGATGTAAACCCTGAATCTATACAATCTGCAAATCAACTTAATTTATGTACCCTTATATAAATTTTGTATTCAAATCTCGGTGCCAAACAGAGACTATATATATTGAATGTAAGCAAACACAAAATATAATCATCATTCAAATAATAAAACCCTAGAAATTTAATTGAAAAAAATAAATAAAATAAATGGGAACGATAGGAACGTACTTATATTCCACCGGGTCGCTTTTTGTCTCTCTCCGCGTGTCTTGAACAGTTGAGTCGCCTTCTATTTGTATTTAGTGGGGTGCCTAATTACAGTAGGTATGTTAATTAGTTGAATTTTTATTTTTATTAGGTTGTTCAAATATTATATATTTTTTTAGATAAAAATACTCTTTTAAATTATTTAATTATTTTTATTTTTATTTTTTTTTGGGTAAATTCCAGGAAGATCAAATATACCAGAAACATCAGTCAAGAATGGGTCATCAAATCGATGGTCTTTTTTATTTTCTTTTCTTTTAACATATATATATATATATTTACAATGGTGAATGAATTATTTTCTTTTCTTTTCTTTTTCTTTTTATTTTTTATTTAAAAAATCCATTTATTCAAGAATAGTTGTAAATATATATATATATATAGAAAAAAAAGAGAGGCAAAAAAAGAGGCAATTATAAGAAGAAATATTTAATCGA